TATGAAGAAGTTTTTTTGCTTCACTACAATTTTACAATCATTCATTAGTTACTTATAATTATAAATAGAGTGAAGCCGGCTCTCCAAAATAACCAATAGGCTAATCAGAGCTGGAGGCCAAAGATACCGAATAATAATGAAAGGAATTATTGCAGTAAGATATTAAGAACCAAAAAGAAAAAAGTAAAGAAATGATATAAAAAACTACTTTCTGAATTTTTTTTAAAAGGTTAGTACGAATCAACAAAATTAGCTTTAAGTTTTCTTTTGAGCTGAGTGAATGACAATCTTTTGTCAAAATCGCTGAGTGCATTCCACACCTTGACACCCCGATATCTAATGTTAAATAAACCGAAATTTGTCCTGGGTTTAGGTAGCCAGCGTGGCCGGCTCTTTTATAGGGCAGATAATTGAAGGAGAGCCTGCCCGGAAGCCCTAGTAAAATTGATGCTCGGCAGCCAGCTGCCGAGAATTGTGATTGGCTGAATTTACGTTGACCACAGGTTGATTGACATGTTACGCTAATTTATTCAACAATTTAAAAATAAATACAGTAAAAACAAACGGCATCGCTAGATTAAAGTGTAAACCTGTCGGCTAAAATATAAAATTCAAAAGACAAAGTGTAAAATGTATAACATATACCGGTATCTAAACAGAATAAGGCAAGCCATACTGCTATTACTGCGTATGTCGTAAGATTTTACCGTATGGTCACTATAGTATAGAGTATAAAACCTTGGCTGTCCTTGCCTTGTCTATATTTTGCTGGCTGGCAAATTACGATTATATAAAATAATACATTCCCCATTGTGTTTAATACACCATAATAATCCGAAGCTCTCTTTGGAGCATTTAAAATACATTTGCCCGCCAACGTGTATAACACGGGAACGGTTCTATTTACTTTTCCTAAGTCATTATATTTAATACTGCAATATTTATAACTGTAGTACAGCCATACAGGTGCAAAGCATAATATAATTTTGAACGGTCTTCGTCTACTATTAATTTCCAGACAAAGTCGAAGGGCCTTCGCTCGAAATGCCGATGTTTTGCTTGTATTTCCAGGCAGTACAGTTGAATCGCTATCCATCTATTGTAGAAAGTTTATTGAAAGCATGTAGCGCAGGCTATAGTAAATATGCAACAATTGACATTTCAAGTCATCATTTATACAAAACTAGTTCGAGTGGGCGGTGTTAATATGGAATATTAACTAAGTAGGCGGTATCAATTTTACTAGGGCTTTCGGGCAGGCTCTAATTATAAAAGAGCCGGCCACGCTGGCTAGGGTTTAGGTAATGATAAACAAAGTCCTGACGCAAGTCTTGTATTATATGAGTGTAATTGATGCACAGGTGCGAAGTAATCGTTGAAATTTAAAGGCACAAGGCAATTATGACATTTATACATGAACATTGTCATTAATAATGTGATCAGATCACTTAACTTTATGAGTCGAAGGCGCTTAAAGATTGGACTGGAATGTTCATCAAACGGAGAGAAAGTTATAATTCGAATGGCTTTTTTTGTAGCACAACTAGTGGTTTAAGTGTAGTAGGGTAAGTATTTCCCCAGATTATTAAAGCATATAGTAAAAAAGGGTATATAATGGCATAATACAACTTTACAAGGATATCAGTATTAACTAAATAACGAACTTTAGAAAGAATACCAATGCCTCTTCTAATTTCTTTTTGCAATATGGCTGATCTGGTATTTGCAAGACAGGTTGGAATCAACAAAAACTCCAAGATATTTAATACGATCAACCTTTTTGAGGTATCTACTGGAAATACTAAGATTTATGTCTACGTCAGGTCTTTTTTGGTAAGGATGAAAGATAACAAAATTTGATTTTTCAATGTTTAGAGATAATTTATTTGCACATAACCAGACGTGGATGTTATCCAACTCTTTGTTAATTTTAGATTCTAGCAGTGACATGCTCTTGTTTTCATAAAATAAATTGGAATCATCAGCAAAGTGATGGAAATCAAATAGATCTGAGCATTCATGAAAATCGTTGATATATAAAATAAATAAGAGGGGGCCCAAAACAGATCCTTGGGGTATACCACAGTTTACTTTATGGACATTAGACATTATATTATTCACAGACACATAATGTTGCCTATCAGTAAGATATGAAACAAACCAATCTTTTGCAACCCCTAATACCATATTTTTCTAGCTTATTTATTAAAATGCCATGATGGACAGTATCAAAGGCTTTGCTAAAATCTAGAAATATACCGCACGAGTAGTTTCGAATTTCAATAGCATTTTGGATTTTATCAATAATAGTAAGAATCGCATGCCCTGTTGAGTGCTGTGAACGAAAGCCAAATTGTTCGTTATAAAGTATACATTTCTGCTCAAGAAAATTGATCAGATGAGTATACATAAGTTTTTCAAGTAGTTTATTAAAAATAGAAAGAAGGAAAATTGGTCTATAGTTATTTAATATAAATTCTGTAATCACCCTTTTTGAAAACTGGTGCAATTCTAGCTATTTTGAAGCTTTGAGGTACAATACCAATTGCAAAGGAAGCATTGAATGAAATCTCTATATAATGGCTTCGAGAGAACATGTTGAAGAAGTTTTAATACTTGGATAGGTATACTGTTAGAACCCACTGTCTTACTGGTATTTGAATATGAGATTTCTCTTTCAATCTCCGAAGGGGTGGTAGGAAATAAATAAAAACTCTCAGAGTTACATGTATCAATGTAGTCAAGCGGCGATTTACTGACATGAGGAATATCAGTGGCAAGTCGATCTCCCACATTAGAAGAAAAACCTACTAAAAGCATTTGCAATTTCCTTTGTTCCAGTGATCTCTTGACCATTATGTGGTAAGTTTCGTTGAGATTGAATTCGAATTTGGGTTTTTCATGAAAATAATTTGTTTAATTCCTTCCCATACCAGCTTAGTATTTTTGGATGATAATTAAAATAGAGGTTGTAATATTTTTTTTACTAATTCGGATCAAATGATATATTTTATTTCTTTAATTTCTAAATTTTAAATAATTTTGTTGAAACTTCGTTTTCAAGTATCTTTGATAACAGGTATTCTTCTTGTGAATGGATTTCTTTATACCTGATGTTATCCACGTTTTAGATTGGATTTGGCGCTCTTTTTTGATAATTACTTAATAGGAATATGCTTATCGGTAATAGAAGAAACTTTTGCATAAAATTAATCAAACATTAACGAGGGTTCAAAACCATGACTACCAAGAACTTCTTGCCAGTCAACAGCTTGTACCTCATTTAATAGATCAGTTTCATTAAATTTCGAATAATCCCTCTTATATTTCTTAACATTAGATGTTAGGCATGAACATTTATTTAATAATTATAAAATTAGGCAAATTTATTTATTTATCTATTTATTAACTTTACAACCATACATAAAATAGATTAAAACACTGCATAATATGGTTGAAGGTATGGTCAACAGGACATGAATACCCCATGTGAAGACCAACCTTAATTAATGAAAACAAACTATAACAAACATAAATCAAAGACGATAACAAATATAAAATTTACAGAAAACATGACGAATTACGAACAACAGCTTAAGTTGAAAGAGCGGCACTTAGAACAGAAGGTTTTCCAAGTGCGCATTCTGTTTACATCGAAAGATGAATGAAGTAGAGAAGAGTAATGAACAGTTAGTCTGTTTTTAAAGGAGGAAACGCATGAACTATTACGAATGGCGGGAGAGAGATTATTCCAGAGAAAGACAATTCGGTTGAAAAAAAGTTCCTAACGAGAGAACTTGAACGGGTGTGAGATGAGCTGTTTGAAGAAAAAGTGACGAAAGAGGAGATATCTAGGTCGAAGAGACCGTGCTTACATTTAAAAGAGAAGACGAGATCCTTTAGTTCCATCCAGTAGGATATTGGTAATAGATTAAGCTTTTTAAGGCGTTCAGGATATGGCAACTCATAATCCTGAAGGATAAATTTACTAGCTCGTCTTTGAACACCCTCGATGATCGCAAGATCACGTGACGATCCTTGAGGTGCCCAGATCTCACTACTATATGACAGATGAGATCGGACGAGAGCAAGATAAAGAAGCCTACGGCAGCGAATATCAGACATTTGCGTACAATTCCTACGAAGAAAACCAAGCATACGATTGGCTTTTGCAGTGCAGCTGGCGATGTGAGGGGACCACTTTAGGTCATTGCTGATAACAACACCCAAGAGTACTTGGTTAGCTATGCTCTTAACTGGATCGTTGTTAAGAAAGTAGCAATGAGTTGGAGGGTTACGTTTGCGAGATATCCTAAGTTGGAGCGTCATCGAGACATTAAATTTCATTTTCCAGTTAAGTGACCATGCAGTTCGACATAGCGTCCAGGTCGAGCTGAAGGAGACCACGATCAACTGGTGATCGTATAGCACGATAACTGTAACTGCGAACCGTATAAGGGCATATTAGTGCTCAGGCCCCACAAAAAACAATACGTTTTAATATACCAACTTAAACTTATGCGAACTTTTGCGAACTGTAGTTTACACGAAGGACTTATCTTAGTGATATTATTGTTAAAACATTCGTTTTACGTCAAGTTTAGACGTCAAGTTTAGACATATGTAGAAGGATATTAAAGGTTAGATTCAACTTGCGTTAACGACTTACGACTATTCTTTAATCCTGGATGTCTCGTCTTGCTTGTCAGTGTTTATGAACGAATGAACAATCCTAGCACATGCGTCTAATATCACTAACGAAACGCTAGGAGTTACAGTAAAACGAATTAAATTCACAACGAAAGAACGAACCTGGTCGACATCAAGGTCAGAAACACGTACTTTATTCGTATTTGAGCGTCATATTTGCGTTTATAAGGGCAAATAGCCCGGTCGAACGATCATACAACGTGGTCTCGGCGCCATTTTGAATACTTAATTATCGGAAAGCAACCGGAGAGCGCTCGGGCGTACTTCGTAATTCTTGCGAAATATCAAATATGGCTGAAGAAAATGAGACAGGGGTGCCAGATCTGCCGGTAAAAACTGGTACTACATCATCGACACATGAAAATGAGTTTTATAGAATATCAAAGAAGTTAAGAATACAAATTAATCATTTGCAAGGACAAATAATAAAGGAAACAAACATCTCCATATTAGAAAAGGAAGCAAATATTGTAGAACAATGCATGAAGGAACTAACTGCTGCCCAAGAAGAATTAGAGCGCATCCAAGGTTCAGCCATCGAAAAGATGACATTTTATAGTAAGTTTGAGGATATGAGTCGAGAAACAAATCAAATACTTGCCCAAGCGGTGCAAGCAATTCAACAGCTAAAATTGAATGAAAACGAAGAAGGACATTCAGTAATCACATCCACTCATCGAAGTAGATCAAGTCATCGAAGTAGACTATCTCGTTCATCACTAGCTAGTACTAGCTCATCCGCACGACTTCGTAGACTCGACCTCGAAGAGGAAATTGCAACATTGAGAGCCAAAATAAATCTTGTAGAGGAAAGGGAACAACTAGACAAGGCTAACCGAGTCGCACTCGAAGAAATCGAAAGGCGAAAGCTGGAAATCCAGAGCGAAGAGCAGCGTTTGATTGAGCAAATCGAAACCACGAAGGAAACATTCAAACTTAAGGAACAGTTAGCAGAAAGGGAAGCAAGAGTCGAGGCATGCACACGGTTCGAAAACGAGGGTACGTCCGTGATATTTGACGACGACGACAATCAAAGTAATGCCACACGAGAGCACATTCAGAAATTCCTTCGATCTCAGGCAGAACCTTCTGCTGAAGGTGAGAATAATGAACTTGCTACGCATGATACAGCTGACTCCCTCCCTCCCTCCCGAATGTGGGTTATTAGTTCCTCCTCAATCCAAATTGAACCCAGACGTCCCATCATACGTCTCTTGCAAAGAAGCTACCACCTCAGCACCGAACCAACAAATCAACGTAACACCTACAAATGTCCACATCAATCCACCTTACACCCTAACTGGTGCCACAAACCCCGACTTGGTTCAAGCTCAGTTAACCGCAATCACAAAATTATTGGAAGTCCAAAACCAGAACCGATTACCCCTGCCGGAGCCGGGCGTCTTCAGTGGTAATCCTTTGCAATACCCAATGTGGGTGAAGGCATTTGAGACCCTTATTGAAGGCAGAGCAATCAACCCGGCCGAAAGATTACATTTTCTTGGAAAATATGTCAGTGGTGAAGCTAAAGAAGTGGTGAATGGTTTCATGCTCCTGGACGGCGACGACGCATATACGAAAGCAAAGGAGATGCTGGCTAAACGATTTGGCGATCCATTCACAGTAGCAGCATCATTTCGAAAAAGACTCGAAGAATGGAAACAAATTGCGCCTGGCGATGCGATTGGTTTGCGAAAGTACTCCGACTTCCTTGTCCAATGCGAAACGGCAATGGAGAAAGTGAGTAGCCTCAACGTGCTCAACGATGTACAAGAAAACCAGAAGATGATATCCAAACTACCCAAGTGGTTGTCAAATCGCTGGGCAAGAGTGGTCTACAAGTCAAGAGAGGAGAAGAATAAATTCCCCCCGTTTTCGGAATTCGTTCGATTCCTGGTAACCGAGTCAAATATCGCATGCGATCCAGTTAATCTGAGAAGCAGTAAGTTAAACGACGAGAACAAACGACCGAAGGATCCACGGAGACCAGAGCGTCCCTACTCGAGATACAGGGCTGGAACAGAAATCGATAAAAGAAACTTTGCGACAAGATCTATGGAAGGAGATCCAGAAGACGAAGGCCAATCCAAAAGGGTAAAGCCAGTGAGTAACTCATGCTCACTCTGCAAAGAAATTCATGATTTAAATTCATGCGAACAGTTTCGTAAAATGGAGATCAAAGATCGAAAGAAATTTGCAAGAGACAAAGGACTTTGTTATGGCTGTTTAATACCAGGACACACGTCCAAGCAATGTAAGAAAAGAAAGAAGTGTGAGACCTGTGGAAGGTTACACCCCACCTCGCTGCATGGAGATTTCAGGGAAAATCCAGGCAACGATAAGGACCGTCCTGACGATAATGCCAACTCACCGACCGTCAACTGTACCAAGGCATGTTTCATGAACGATGGAACTCAGGTGCGAATGAGCTCCATGATAATCCCGGTTTGGATTAACCATAGTGATAATCCTGAAACCAAGATACTCGTGTATGCCCTCTTGGACGATCAATCGGACACTACCTTCGTCACTGAAGAAACCCTAAATAGTTTAAATGTCAG